GGTGGGCGTGGACTAAATTTTTCAGTGCAATGCTTCGCATGATGGGATAAAACCCACTAAGTGACAGCCTTAAAGGGCGAATAGAACAGCTCAATTCTGGCTAGAAGTTCATCATCAGCAAAAACACGATTTCAAGGTATTACATCAAAAATGTAAACATGTAACGCAATTAATTTGCTTCTAAATAAATACAAAACAAAAGCAATTGCAGGTACTTTTGCTGCTGAAATAATATATAATGCTTAATAATGATTATATAAAAAGCAGAACAATGTAATAAATATGACATAATGCTTATTAATGATTATATAAAATGTAGAATAATGTAATTAATATTTCATCATGCTTATTAATGATTATATAAAATGTAGAATATATGGATGCACGATATTATCGGCATGGTAACGGCCAATATTAGCATTAAAGTTTAATATCGGACATCGGCCATTCCATTAAAACAACTCGCAGATATACAGACCCTTTCCAAAAACATAGATTATCATGGAAAAGTTGTTAAACTTCCATAGTTCCATTCAAAAAGTTAATATTTAATAGATGATAGATTCAGGGCACACAATTTAAACATTTTCAAGTATTTATTTGTTTATTTTTACGTAATTTGAGCTTCCAGCTCATGAAACCCACGAAAACAGGAATTCAAAAAATTAGACTACTGTGAAGAAATCAGCCCAAATGTTGCAGGGTATGAATGTTTTAAACTGAGTGTGACACACTAATCATCTACTAAACTCAAAGCACCTGCACAGGTTTCCCCAGGTGTCATTAAATTGTCTCAGTTCGGTTCAATATGGGGAAGACTGCAGACATAACAAGTGGCCAGAAGACCATCATTGATACCCTCCATAGGATGGGTAAGCCACAAAAGTTCATAGCTAAGGAGGCTGGATGTTCACAGAGTGTTGTGTCCAAGCATATCAATGGAAAGTCTAGTGGAAGGGCAAAATGTGGCAGGAGAAGATGCACCAGCAAAAGAGATGACCGTGGGCTTCAGTGGATTATCAAACAGAGAAGATTCCAGAATCTGGCAGAGATCCAGAAAGTGGACTGAGGCGGGAGTCACAGCTTAAAAAACCACCACATTCAGACGCATCCGGGAGATGGGCTACAGATGTCGGGTTCCTTGCGTCAAAGCACTTCTGAACATGAGCCAACGTATCGATTTCCGATGAAAGTAAAGTGTGCCTTTCATTCAGAAATCAAGGTCCAAGGGTTTGGAGGAGGAAGGGTGAGGAACAGAACCCATCCTGCTTGAGGTCCAGTGTCAAATATCCACAGTCAGTCACGATTTGGGGTGCAATGTCCGGTGCAGGTGTTTGTAAACTCTTTCTTAAATCCAAGGTCACCAAAACAGTCAAATAACTTCTTAGTCTGTTGCCTTCATACATCTCCTACATGTCTTTGCGTGAGTGCAGCTACAGCGTGCACTCTCAGGGCATTATTACCTGCAGTGTCCCCTCAGTGAGGACTGAACTTGGCAAAAGGGCCTTCTCCTACTCCGCTCCTGTTTCCTGGAATATCTTGCAAAAAGATCTGAAGCTCTCGACCTTGACCTCTCCAAGTGGCTTTAAGAATCTGTTGGACTCCTGGCAAGGACCAGTGTAAACATGTTCCTGTTTTTAGTTTTCTACATTCGCCTTATAATCTAGCTGTTTTTGTTACTTTTACTTTTGCCATCTTATATGTAAAAAAAAAAAAAAAAAAAAAAAATCTGTATGCCTTTTTATAACTATTGTTGTCGCGTTGTCCATTGTTGTCATCATTCTTTGTTGAAATCGGGTCTCTTGTAAATGAGTCCTCGAGACTCAATGGGATTAACCTGTCTAAATAAAGGTTGAATGAAAAAAAAAAAGTCTACCAGAATGTTTTAGAGGACTTCATGATTCCTTCTGCTGAGGATCTGTATGGAGATGCAGATTTCATCTTCCAGCAGGACCTGGACCCTGCCCATGCCGCCAGAAGCACCAAAACCTGGTTTGATGCTCATCCATCACAGTGCTCGACCTGCCAACAAACTCATCGGACCTAAACCCCATTGAGAATCTATGGGGTATTCTCAAGAGGAAAATGAGGGGCACCAGACCCAACAACAAAGAAGAGCTGACAGCAAACATCAAGGAAATCTGGGCTTCCATAACTCCCAGACAATGTCACAGTCTGATTGCCTCAACGCCACGTCACATCGAGGCAGTGATTAAGGCAAAGAGATTCCCAACCAAGTATTGAAGATTGACATATCGTTTTGAAAGTACCATATTTTGATTGATTTGTTGTGATCCTAATTTCTTTCTTTTTTTCTGCAAATACTGAGTAGTGTAGGCTGATGACTTCACAGTAGTCTAATTTTTTTGAATTCCTGTTTTTGTGGGTTTCATGAGCTGGAAGCCCAAATTATGTAAAAATAAACAAATAAATACTTGAAAATGTTTAAATTGTGTGCCCTGAACCTATCAATTAAAGATTAACTATTTGAATGGAATTACGGAAGTTAAACAACTTTTCCATGATATTCTAATTTTTTGGAAAAAGTCTGTAAAAGGCGCTGGTTTTGCCTGCAGCGGCAGCGCAACGCGATGACGTCACATGCGCCTGTCCGATCTCACAGTGGAGAGGAAAATTCAAAATGTCAGCGGTGTGGAAGTTTTATTTTTCGTTGGTGAGGATGTCGGATTCCTAAGATTTATGGACTATGTTGAGCCTCGCTACATCATCCCAAGTAGGAAATATTTTTCCAACGTAACGTTACCGGAGTTACAAACCGTCATTTCTGACGTCAATAAGATAATGCATAGCATTTTAACTTATATTAAATTAAAGTATTAAATATTATTTATTAGCATTAGTCACCTGTGATGCTGTCTCACTTGTGGAGACTTGTTCCAGGTTCCTAGCTGCAGTGTGGGATCCTCTGCACTCCTGTGCATGAAGGACAGCCTTTTTAAGTTCAAAGTTTTTGTCCATCCATTGTGCTGTAAGACTAATCATGCTAACGGGGTTAACACAACGTCCAAATGTCTGTGGTAAAACTTACCCAACAAGTCGTGTTATCGGCTATTAGCTTCTCAATGACGTCGGAAATGACGGCTTGTAACTTGGGTAATGTTACTTCGGAAAAATATCTCCAATTGGGGATGATGTAGCAAGGCTCAACATAGTCCATAAACCTTAGGAATCTGACATTCTCACCAACAAAAAAGTAAAACTTCCACACGCCGACATAATAATCAGTGTTTCCCCTACCATTATGCAAGCGGGGGGCGCCACACCGACAACAGAACCGAGCGCCCCGACTACCGAAAAAAGACTGTTGGTATAAACAGCACGCTGCGCAGCTCAGGACATATCCCCCCACCCCCCCCAGACAAAAATCATGGACGAGATGAGCGCCCCACTATGACAAGTTACCTAGGGGAAACAATGGTAATTAATATGATATAATGCTTAATAATGATTACAATAATTCCTTGTTTATCGCGGGTGTTAGGGACCACGCCCACCCGCGATAAGTGAAAAACCGCGAAGTAGGGATACAATAGTCCAAGTTCAAGTTCAGGTTCAGTAAACTTTGTCATGACGTGCCAGGCTGCAATCACACTCACTCATCACTAGTTACTCCTAATCTCCCTCCTTAAATAAACAATTTAAATTTCAATAATTAACATTTTAAATAAACAACGCATGGATTGTTTATTGAAAATGTTACAGTATTTACATTTAAATTGTAGAGAAGTGCAGCAGGACACCAAAGGGATGTCACACAGCTTCACAGCTCTGCAGCATGGAGCAGAAATATACTTCTTGATCAATTACACTGAAACAACCAAACATAGAAGTTCTAAAATAATTAAAAATAACTTTTAACACTTTTAATTGTGATTATGACGATTTACGATGTGACAAACTTTGAACTTTATGTTGGAAGACAAAAATCGATGGGTGCATCTGGACAGCAAAGGGTTAATTAACCCTTCACAAAGCTGCTGCAGCAGAAATGTGTGTGCGTGGCAGAGAAGGAAATCAGCTGCAGGAGAGAGCTTCCCCCTGCACTAGTGGGCTGCACACATGGTTTAAAATAATTTAAAATAATTTATTTTAAATAAACAATCCATGGCTCATCCATCAATCAGCCAATTGTGTCATGTCCAATCTTACTTTGAAAAACCACGATCAGTGTTTCCCCTAGTTAACTTGCCATGGCGGGGTGCTCATCTCATACATGATTTTTGTTGATGGGGGGACGGACACTTGTCCGAGCGCGACTTGTACTAACAGTTTTTGAGTGGGGGCAGGGGGCGTTTAGCATGAGGGAAGAGGCAACACGAGTGCTTCCTTTAGCTTTTTAGCTAGAGAACCTGTATTTCTCACTGCTAGCTTAGTGCTATGTCAGTGCCAGGTGGGCAGGTGGGGGGGCAAGTTTGGTTTGGTAGGCGGGGTGCTCGATTCAGTTGACGGGGTGGGGCACCCCGCTTGTATAATGGTAGGAGAAACACTGGCAATATAGCGAATTCACGATAAACGAATTAGCAAGGGACTACTGTATATAATAAGTAGAATAATATAATTAATATGACATAATGCTTAATAATGATTATATGGGCATCTGGCTAGCGCAGTCGTCCTCTGATGCAAGGGTTGGGGGTTTCATTCCACCAGCAGCCACAGGCATGACGCTGAACCCCTCATTGCCTCTGATGTGTGCCCCATCAGTGTATGAATGTGATAAAGCTCTGATTATTCTTTGTTTAGCTCTAGTAGAGTGCTGTGTGAATGGGTAAGAGGGCACAGATTGTAGTGTAAAGTGGTTTGAGTGTCTAGATTAATGAAATTAAAATGACATGATGCTTAATAATGATTATATAATAAGTAGAATAATGTAATTATAGTAGAATTTCTAAAACCAGGCGTAAAGCTCAAGCTAAAGCGAACTTTAAAACATGCTAACTTTTCATATAAAATGTGTTGTAGCATTGTTCCTGACTCACCAGCTGGAACTCCCTGCGGCGATCGTAGGCATTCTGGATGCCTTGGTCAGCCCACAGAGCCCGAATGGAAGGTAAGTAGTGCTGAAAGATTCTGGTCTCCACCATGCCGTGACCGTGGGTCATTGCTGAGCGAGTGTCAAAGCCCATCACTTTGTCTCCGTGCTTCTGGTTTGTTGGGTCGCCCCATGGGATGTGCAGTTTTTCTCTAGCGTCCACCAAAACCCTGATGCCTGGAAGGACGAGCAGAAAACCATGTCAGAGGTCAGGAGGACTCAGAATTTTGTCTTGTCTCCAAACATGAGAGGGAAACTTCAGTACAGAATGGACCAATTTCTATAATGAGCTTCAGCAGTGTCTAATGAATGTTTATTCTAAACAAAAACAATTATTTTATTATGAATAAACTGTGTTCATTACTCCAAAGAAAATGGCCAGAAATGAGTCGGAGCAGATGTGGACAAAATACGGCCCGAGGGCTGAAAATGGCCCTGGGACAATCACCCTAATATTGTTAACTGAAAAGAACACCACTTTTAAATAAGTTGATGAAAACCTGCATTTTTATTAATGAAAATGAATTGATCATCTTGGACAAATGCAGCAAAACCTTTAAATTAAGTTTAAAACTTTTATTAAGTTGTGTTTCCAGAGCTAAACCCAGTGGTGATTTTAGCCCATTTTGGGGGTGCTCAAGCACCCCTAAATCTTAACCCCGCACCCCTGAAAAATAAAGAAACCATCATTAGGATTTTGTAAAGAAGCTCAGTTCTCAAACTTTAAATTCACTTTCATTGAAGACAATTTCACTCTAAAGACTATTCATTATTCTGTATACATCCTTGAATAGCCATCTTACCATGGTGTAGGAGTTTTTGCACCAGAATGATCCTAGGAGCTTTTAAGCCAGGGGCAATTATATTTGCCCCTCATAGGGTCTCCCAAGGCAGATTGGTCCTAGGTGACAGGCCAGAAAAATGTGATTCAGAAGACTTATATGGACAGGAAAATACAAGGAGCTTGGTGTCCCTTGCCAGGACACTGGCTACCGGGGCCCCACTCTAGAGCCAGGCCTGGGGGAGGAGCTTGTCGGCGAGCGCCTTGTGACTGGGTCTCTACCCATGGGGCCTGGTCAGGCTCAGCCCAAAGGAGCAGCATAGGTTTGCCTTCCTGTGGACCCACCACCTGCAGGAAGGGCCATAAGTGCATGATGCCATGGCCAGTGGCCGAAGGCGGAGACCTTGGCGCTCTGACCCTAGCTTTCCAAAGCTGGCTCTTGGGACATGGAACGTGACCTCTCTGGTGGGGAAGGAGCCTGAGCTTGTGCGCAAGGTTGAGCGGTACAGACTAGATATAGTTGGGCTCACCCCGATGCACAGCATGGGTTCTGAAACCGATCTCATTGAGAGGGGCTGGACCTTAGTCCACTCTGGAGTTTCCCATGGAGAGAGGTATCGAGCTGGTGTGAGTCTAATTGTAGCCCCCAGACTTGGTGCCTGTGTGTTGGAGTTTTCCCCGGTAGATGGAAGGGTGGCTTTCCTTCGCCTTCGGTTGGGAGAGGGGCTCTGACTGTTGTTTGTGCCTACGCACCAAATGGCAGTTCAGAGTATCCGGCCTTCTTGTAGTCCTTGGCGGGGTTGCTGGAAGGTGCGCCAACTGGGGACTCCTTTGTTCTGCTGGGGGACAACGCCCATGTGGGTAATGACAGTGTGACCTAGAGGGGTGTGATTGGGAGGAACGGCCTCTCTGATCTGAACCCGAGCGGTGTTCTGTTGTTGGACTTCTGTGCTAGTCATAGATTGTCCATCACAAATACCATGTCTGAACATAAAAGTGTCCATAAGTGCACTTGGCACCAGGATGCCCTAGGTCGTAGATCAATGATTGACTTTGTAGTCATGTTATCTGATTTGCGGCCGTTTGTTTTCATTTTGGACACAGGTGAAGAGAGGAGCTGAGCTGAATCGCTTTCAGTAATCTAAAGATGCACCAATTTCATGTTTTAACCAACTATAAGTACTTACATTTGACCACTCATTAATATAGAGTACTAGTACGAGTACTAATGACTGCCATAACACTTCTTATAATGAGTCAAACCTCTAAGTACAAGTTTAATTTGTTTCAACCTGTCATTGTATGTTGAAGATTTCTAACACAACAAAGATTAACATGGCCAGGTGAAAAAAGGATCATTATGTTTTAGCTCTAGGTCTGAGTAACGAACAGAGGTTCTTTTATGGCACCGAATGAACAGCACCGGTCGGTGTATGTATTGAAATGTCACTCTTCTTTCGATGTCAAGTTTCGGTATTGGCTGTAAAGTGTCACATGGTTTCAGCATGCAGGCAGGTAAAACACCAGACATATGACAAAAAGACTACACCCAGAGCTGTATAGAGCTGCCATACCTAATCTATGTATAATGTATGTCTATGGTGCTGGTGACGCCCACAGACGGGTTCACGTGTGCAGCGCGAGTTGTCGAACGGTTTCGACAACACGCAAGCAGAAAGTTGCTCCGTGTTTTTCTGCGAGGAGAGTGGAGTTCAGCAGCCTCCCCCTCCTCCTCTCAGCATTAAAGTCAGCCTGTGAGTGTTAGAGAGCCTGAACGTCCTGATTCATTATCTCCACGACCGGACTCTTCATCAAAGAACTCCGAGGACGGCTCTGCAACTGTGCTTCAGATGGTGAGTTTACGTTTGTTAACGTAACTGCAGCTTAACACGTATATCGCGGTGAATTAAACTATGATCCATGTAATGCTAACTTTAAGATATTAGTGTGTACATTTATTTTATGGATATCTACGTAGCTAGCTAAAATGAGAAGCCAACTAAAAATTGACAGAAACAAAAGAAGCTTAGCTTGTGAAACTGCTCATCCATCCAGTCAGCTGCTTAAACATTTCACTAATGTTCACTGTTTATGTTCTCCTCACAGGAGCCTCTGACCCTGATGTGAGGGGGCCAAAAAAAAAAGCGAGGTGTGGGCCACAAGACAGTCACAAACTTTGTTGTTAAAAGTTTGTTGCTTTTTCTACAATGGAGCTGCATGGTGGAGGTAAGTTGAGCAGTAAAGGATTTTGTTGACCAGTTAAGCTTTTATCTTTCTGCCTAGATAATGTTTTTTGAGTAATAATAACACAACCATGTTATTGTTGATGTTTTGTTCTAATGTCAGTTAGGGAGATGATCAGAGTCCTAAACCCCAGAGAATCACAGAGAAGATTCAGGCAGAGACACAGAGGTGCATATGTCTGCATTATCCCCTACCTCAGTGAATCCAGTGACCTGCTGATGGGATGTGAGGGACAATATGTCAATGCTATCAAACTGACAACAAGGTATCTGTGTATGCAACAATCATCATCTACAGCCTCAGAGTGAACATTTTTTACTGCTGGAGACACCAACAGCCAGGAGCGGGCTTGTTTGTATCCAGAGAAAGCAGACATGTTGAGGTTTCTGAAGAAAAACTGTTAAGTAAAAAGGTCCTCAGTGTGTAACAGTGAACATTAGACACCGACGTGTCACTGGTTTGTAACTGGTCTTTTGACATAGAAATTGTTTGTTTTTATGTAAGAAAACAGCTTGGAATAGAAAAATACCAAAGTTAAAAAGTAAAACTCACAATTTGTACTATAATGTGTAACGTAATTTTATTCTTGTTAGAATTAATAGTAATTACAAAATTGGTCTCGAAAAAAGAACCGTCCAGGAACCAACGCCAAAGTGAAGGTACCGACACCGGTACAGATTTTTTTTTTTAGAAAGGTACCCAGCTCTTCCCATGGGCTTACCACCTGTGGGAGGGGCCAAAGGGGTCGGGTGCAATGTGGGATGGGTGGTGGCCGAGGGCAGGGACCCTGGCGGTCTGTTCCTCGGCTACAGAAGCTGGCTATTGGGACGTGAAATGTCACCTCACTGGTGGGGAAGGAGCCTGAGCTGGTGTGTGAGGTTGAGAGGTTCCGGCTAGAAATGGTTGGACTCGCCTCTACGCATGGCTCTGGAACCAGTTTTCCTGAGAGGGGCTGGACACTCTTCCACTCTGGAGTTGCCTCTGGTGAGAGGAGCCGAGCAGGAGTGGGCATACTTATTGCCCCCCATCTTGGTGCCTATGTGTTGGGGTTCACCCCGGTGAATGAGAGGGTGGCCTCCCTCCGACTACATGTGGGGGGACGGGTTCTGACTGTCATTTGTGCTTATGCACCAAACTGCAGTTCAGATTATCCACCCTTTTTGGAGTCCTTGGAGGGGGTACTGGAAAGTGCACCTCCTGGGGACTCCCTTGTTCTGCTGGGGGGACTTAAATGCTCACATGGGCAATGACAGTGAGACCTGGAGGGGTGTGGTTGGGAGGAACGGCCCCCCCCGATCTGAACCTGTGTGGTGTTCTGTTGTTGGACTTCTATGCTCGTCATGGATTGTCAATAACGAACACCATGTTCAAGCATAAGGGTGTCCATATGTGCTCTTGGCACCAGGACGCCCTAGGCCACAGTTCGATGATCGACTTTGTCATTGTCTCATCTGATCTGCGGTTACATGTCTTGGACACTCTGGTGAAAAGAGGGGCGGAGATGTCCACTGATCACAATCTGGTGGTGAGTTGGCTCCGATGGTGGGGGAGGATGCCGGTCAGACCTGGCAGACCCAAACGTGTTGTGAGGGTTTGCTGGGAATGTCTGGCAGAGTCTCCTGTGAGACAGAGCTTTAACTCCCACTTCCGAGAGAACTTAAAACATGTTTCGGGAGAGGTAGGGGACATCGAGTCCGAGTGGGCCATGTTGCATGCCTCTATTGTCGAGGCAGCTTACCGGAGCTGCGGCCGCAAGGTTGACGGTGCCCGTCGTGGCGGCAACCCTCGAACCCAGTGGTGGACACCGTCAGTGAGGGATGCTGTCAGGCTGAAGAAGGAGTCCTATCTTGTCTTTTTGGCCTGTGGGACCCCAGAAGCAGCTGATGGGTACCTGCGGTCCAAGAGACATGCGGCTTGGGTGGTCACTGATACAAAAACTCGGGCATGGGAGGAGTTTGGAGAGGCCATGGAGAATGACTTCCGTACGGCTTCGAAGCAAATCTGGTCCACCATCCGGCGTCTCGGGAGGGGGGAAAGCGGTACGCCACCAACACTGTTTATAGTGGGAGTGGTGCGCTGCTCACTTCAACTCGGGATGTCGTGGGTCAGTGGGCAGAATACTTTGAAGACCTCCTCAATCCCACCGGCACAT